TTATGGTTAACTCTTACAACTGCTGGATCCAACTATTCTTTAGGGATGCAATATTTACTTACTAGAGTGAGCACTCGCGAATTGGCATTCTTTTCAAATGCAGTCATCCAAGGCAACAAGAAACATGGTTTTCGGAATTTTTCAAATTTAATTTGATGAAGTTTAGCGTAGAGTTACATACATAGAGCCGCGGCTATGTCACGTTCACTATTATCGCCTGGGAAGGGTGGAAACTTCCATCAAAGCTTAGTGCCTAGAAGAAAGCCCCAGATTTGATTTTTCTCCGTAATTTATTGTAATTTGAAGACTGCTGAACAAATCTCAATAGATACAAATCCTTTGAGTTCGGCGAAAACACTAGAACCACAAGTTATGGCGTCCATATAAAAGTAAGAACTGATACTAGGTGCGCACTCTTTGATGGATTTAAAAAAATACAAATGAAGTTCGCGCCATACCTATTTCTTCCAGATTAGTTGACATACCCAAACATTCAAAAGTGCATATATGATCGGAGTGACAGATACGAGGGTTAGCACTACAAAAGTACAAATAATCGTTGGGGTGGAATTGAAAAAAATGTCGCGCAGTGGTTAGCCAAACTCTAGTTGATTCTGAGTGGAATGATACATGAAGTTGGTGATTTTGCTGCGCAAAGGCCGAAAAGCCATTAAAATCAAATCCCCCATCGGGTCTAATCCTAATCTCCCACATAGCACGGCTATCTCCACGGAATTTGGTTGTGGCCCTCTTTGTTCTCAATTTGCGACAGACCTAGTTGCAAAAGCAACCACTACTTTTTTTTAAAAATATGATAAGGGTATTGGATATAACATACATTGAAAAAAATGACGTGCTTTTTATGCACTTCCCCAATAAACAAGAACATATAAAGTCTACAAAATAGAATATTGATTAAATCTAGTATTACATTGCTTTAGGACTATTCTGTGGTAGACATAAACATCTGTGTGAGTATTCAATATTTTTAACTTTCTTTCCAGAATCCCAGCGCCCACAACCCGCCTATGCAGGTCGAGGATGCCTTAGTGCTAACCTAGACATGCATTTTCTTTTTAATTCAATTTTCGCCGCTAATTTGATTTATGTTTACTTTGCATAAGTTTGTTTGGTTCTCTTACTAAGGAGGTAAGAACCTAAATAAATAATAATTTTTCTGAAAATCACTGTTATATCATTTCAAATTTCCTAACTTGGTGATACTTGCATAGTGAAGTCATTTGATCTGCAAATTCAATCATCTACACTCTCCCAAAATGTCCTACTATATGATTTTACTTTATCGATGGAGTTCTGCAATGCAAGTACCGCACCTGAAATCAAAACACCTAAAATCGCCATGAATGTAGATATAAATGAGAATTCAGCATGCCAAACTCATGTGCATGTTTTCAAAAATCTTCAAATCATTACATGGGTCAAGATATGAGATGGACACTTCGACAAAGTTATAGCATTTCCTTGGAAACCATTTTGGATAACTATGAGTTTTTATTTGCAGTTAGACAAGGCAATTATAAATAATTCATGAGAAAAAGGCGCAATGGC